TATTCAGTTGAATGCAGTTCAAAGATTTTTAATGTTCAAACTAATAAACTTTGTTTTTTATGCTCTCATGCTGAATTTGATCCTGCAACATGTTCCAAAAACGTTGGGACATGGGCTCGTTTACCACTGTGTTACATCACCTTTTCTTTTAACAACACTCAGTAGGCATTTGGAAACTGAGGATGTAAATTGTTGAAGTTTTGAAAGTGAAATTTATTCTCAGGATTCATAATGTGGTTTATAGTCTGTGAAAGACTTGGCCAACAGACCCACAGAACAATGAGAGACGTTAGTTTCTTCATACAGGAAGTGTACTTTGTAGACAAAGGCCTCTCCGTGTATTAAATACATTTTGCCTGATAAATACTTATTTTCTGTGTCATTCCACCTTATTGCAAATATTTTTTTATGGATTGAAATGTTATGATTTCCTTATCATTAAACCTAAAACCTAATATTTTAATATAGCTGTAACTTCTAAAGTTACCTAACATAATATTAGGCAGCAAATACCTTGTATTAACCTTATGAGTTTGCTAATGTTAGCTAGCTATGCTGATGTTGTCAGCAAACTAATGTTAGCATTAGATGAAATGACATTTGTCAGCCACCTTTGCTAATGTGGTTAGCAAACTAATGAAATGACATTAGTTAAATAGCTATGCTAATGTTAGTAAGCTAATGTCAACATTAGCTGAAAGGACATTAGTTAGCCAGCTATGCTAATGTTGTTAGCAAATTAATGTTAGCATTAGATGATGACATTAGTTAGCTAGTTATGCTAATGTTGTTAGCAAATCAATGTTAGCATTAGATGATGACATTAGTTTGCCAGCTTTGCTAAAGTTGTTAGCAAACTAATGTTAGCATTACATGAAATGGTATTCGCTAGCAAGCTATGCTAATATTGTCAGCAAACTAATGTTAGCATTAGATGAAATGACATAAGTAAGCCAGCTATGCTAATGTTGTTAGCAAACTAGCATTAGTATTTGATAAAATAACATTTATTAGTGAGTTATGCTAATATTGTTAGCGAACTAACATAAACATTAACTAAAATGGCATTAGTTAGCCAGATATGGTGATATTGTTAGCAAACTTATGTTAGCGTTACATGAAATGACATTCGCTAGCAAGCTATGCTAATATTGTCAGCAAACTAATGTTAGCATTAGATGAAATGACATAAGTAAGCCAGCAATGCTAATGTTGGTAGCAAACTAATGTTAACATTTACTGAAACGACATTAGTTAGCCAGATATGGCAATGTTGTCAGCAAACTAACAATAGTATTTGATAAAATAACATTTATTAGTGAGTTATGCTAATGTTGTTAGCAAACTAACATTAACATTAACTGAAATGGCATTAGTTAGGCAGATATGCTGATTTTGTTAGCGAAATGATGTTAACATTAACTGAAATGACAATAGTTAGCTAGCTATCCTAATTTTGTTAGTGAACTAATGGTAGCTGAAATGATTTTTGTTTGCTTATGACATTAGCATAGCTTGCTTACATTAGCAAACACATTAGCAAACACATTAAGCAGTAAATGACTTGTAATAACCTAATGTGTTTGCTTACATTAGCAAACACATTAGGTTATTACAAGTCATTTACTGCTTAATGTTATGTTACCTAATTGTATACGTTATGATTATAATAAAGTATTAGGTTTTATTTACCTTAAGTTTTTGTTGATTGAATTGTAACTTTTTTTTTTGTTTTTATTAACAGTGTAGTTTTTATTAAGCTAATTCTAATGTATGGTCTAAGTGTCATGTGAATAGCTGCATTGGAAATATGTGTGATGAGAACAATGTTGATGTGTTGAAGACTTATTTTCTCCAGTATATGCTGAAAAGGATTTTTCTTTACATCTCACACAACATCTCAACTTTTTTTGGAGTCGGGTTATAAAAAATACCAAACATTTGGTGGTTCCAGCTTCTCAAATGTGAAATGTTCTGCTTCCTTCTCCTTTATATCATCGTTAACTGAATATATTTGTGTTTCAAACGGTCGGATGAACAAAACAAGTAATTTAACGATGTCACCTTGGGCTCTGGGAACTTGTGATTGGCATTTTTCACCAGTTTCTGACATTTTAAAGGCTTAACGAGTAATCTAATTACTGAAAAAAAAAAAACAGTTCTTGACTGAATCTAATTACTAGTTTCAACCTAAATGCAACCTTAAAGGATGCACAAAGGAGGTGAAATGGTACAAAACAGAAAAAAGACACAAATGGCGTACACAAAACATCTGTTGTATGTATATCAGCCTGCCGTGATGTTACTCGTTAACATTTACATGTTGTCTGATGTAATGGGACAATAAAACAGTAAGAATGAGCGACTTTGTAATGTGGGCAGGGAAGAAGGAGAGGCTGGCAGCATCGTAAGTGAGTTAGCCCTGCAAGCATGCAGATGTCTCGGGTAAATTTATGTCTCCGACTGCTCATCAGCTCCAGTGCCAGGCGCCAGCCAGCTCTGCCTCCCTGTGCCACCGGCCTTCCTCTTAAACAACCACGGGTGATGACAGATAAGGTGCCACTGAGCAAGGCAGCCGACCTCTAACTCTGCCAGCGCCTCTGCTCTGTGGCCAGTATCGGAAAACTGTGGTGTCACACAGCAACTACTGGGTGTGAATGTCACTTCTGGGTAAACACATGTTTCAGAAGAGCTACAGTCCGCCTGTTTGTACATCTTATCTTTGCATATGCAACTGACTTTCTGCAGACTCTTCTATACTGGCTTTCCTGTTTAAACATCATGTCTGGGGCTTTGTTACAATCATGGGTAGATTATGAGACAATGAGCCCTGGAGCACAGAAATATAAAAGCCCCCCCACCCATACAGACAGAGCACAAATAAGTCCCACCCACACCAGAGGGGGAAACAATTCGTTGCTCTCCATAGACTTTGTACTGCATGAAGGTGCCTTCTTGTCACTGATGTCTGCTGGCAAACAACAGAACAATATCTAAAAGCTGCTGTGTGGTGGAACACTCTTTTATAAGATGCCTAACCAAAAAACAGCCTTTAGGGGTGCTTTCACAGCTGCCCTGTTTGGTTCGGTTCAATCGAACTCAAGTTTGTTTGCTCCCTAAGTGCGGTTCGTTTGGGCAGGTGTGAACACAGCAAGCGTTTGTGGTGAGAAGGTGTTCCGACCTGGATGTGAACCAACTGCAGTCACATGACACATTGTTTGGGTTAAACATGAGCATGTTACAGTCCTGGAGGATTATTAATGTGCACCTCCTCCTGTACTGCCTTAATATGCACATTCAGCACATCCAATGCATCAAAACAATGTTTTCTAGTTGAAGCAGAAACTCGTTTTCAAACTGTATGGTTTGACTAAAATGAACAATGACAGCAATATAGTCCACGATGAGCAGCGCTAAAATCAACCTGTGTAGTTGTCCCTCCATCGTTACATTAGAAAGTGTCACATTTATCTTGCAAGTGTACTCTTCTTCAGCGTTTGCTTTACTTCCTGGATTTTTCCCACGTGGAAATTCTGGCCAATCAAGAGCAGCTTTCTCACACAAGGCATTTGATCTGGTCCTCTTGTAAATGCTGCCGTGAGAACATGAACCAGCTCTAGGCAGTTATACAAATTTGTGACTTTATTGCTATTTAATAAATTATAGTTGCTAATTTGGCCGATCAGACTGCAGAGATTGAAGCTAGCTAAGCTAAGTAAGACCTGATTTAATCTTCGTGAGGTAAAATGATGATCTTACCAGGTGATTTGATCAAATAGTTGTAAATATCAAAGTATTTCTGGCTGCTCAGTGGGGTCATTTCTCTAAGATAAGTGGGGTAAGGAGAAGAACACACTGAGACAGATCGCCAATATTGAGTTTGTCAGTGTAACTTTTTCTCTCTGGTGGACACAGGATGCTAAAATAATCATTTAACATGTTCACATATAACGTTTTTAGTCAGATACAGGCATTTTGTAAGTGTTTCAGCCCTTGGTTGCATATCATGGCACTGTTTGTGTTCCTCTCCTGCAGCCATGGACAAGTTGTGCTCTGTAATACCAGAAATTTGGAAGTTGATACCAGCACCAGTTGAATTCCATGATTCCTAATACCCAATTCGATACCACAGGAAAAAACAAAGACAAAACAATAAATCCAATGTACTTAAACATGCAAGCCTTTATTAAAAGCCTTCAAGTTAAACTCAAACACAAAGTACTAGTCCCTGTTGGTTCATGGGATTCTGTGGGTGATGAAACATATATTAATATAATATATAGCCAACAGTTTATTAACATACTTCTCCATTGTTGTTCTTGTTGTTCAGCATTTGTTCATGTAAGGAGTGATGGTTGGTCTTTGTGGTAGGCTATTTGTCCCGCCCCTCCTCCACTGTGACAGGACGGCTGGGTAAAAGTGACAGTGATGAGCACAGCATGTAACCCACAGTTTAACATTTTTAACTCTCAGTGACCTGAAAAAAATGTAGTAGCGCACAGTGCCTCGTCACGCTGCTAGCATTTTTAGCAGTGTAAATAAACAGCCCCCCCCCCCATCTGCATGAAATGTCCAAAATACGCTGGCCCCAGGGGAAAATGCTTTTCTTTTCAATGAGTCAAAGCAGAGATGTCACTGCACATGTTGTTCCTCTTCTTCTGAGCTTGTAGTCTTTCTTCCGTTGCCTTTGGCATTTATCGTCAGCCTAGTACACTTGTAGGCATTTGCCCTGTCATGTCCAGAAGCACCCGCAGTACATACAGTACCGGAGACAAACGAGTACCGTCACATTTTCAGAATTCTGGCATTTGACTTGGTACCTGAGTAACGGTCCCTGTGGCATCTCCCAGTTGTTATTAGTGTCTTTTTGTAGTTGTGTCTTTGTGGTCACTTTGGTGTTTTACATGCCTTGTGGTTCTTTTCTGTCTCTCTTTGTCGTCATTTTTCATCTTTCTGTAGTCGTTTATTTGATTTTCTAACAAGAACAGTCACTGGAGGGGCCCGTTCAGTAATCCATCCATAGCTGCAATGTTGATGTAGCGAAAGAAATTTTGGCACGATGTTAATCGGGCAGCAAAAGTAACAGAAATGTCTCCGCGGCTCTGCTTTCCCAGGGGTTTTTGTTTCACAAGCCTTATCTTCGTCATTATATCATCATTAGTTTTGAAAGTGACACACAGACAACGTGAGGGTTTATAAGAGCCAAGGAGCGGGGTGAAGACAGCCGCAGAAGTGGTGATGTAAAACTAGTGGAAAAAAGAGCAAAAAATAGGGTTGAAAGAAGGTTAACGGAGATGAGGAAAGAAAATTGGTAAAAACGGACAGATAAGGTAGAATAGGAGAAACAGCAATGGAAGCAAAAACATTTCGGCACATGGCCCAGTCTACCCCAGTATGTCCCATGTGTCCTTGGCTGGTGCAGGCGTATCTATATGCACACCCAAACCCACATGCTGTACATGCAAACAGAATAAGAAACATAGTGTTACCAGCAGAGTCAGGGTAGGACACTGTGTTCCCATTTTCAGCAGGGCAACACTGAGGGATTAGAGTGTGTACTATATAAAGGCGTATAGATGCACAGGGCTTACATACCAAGCAGAAGAACGTGTCAAAATTTAAAAGAACTATTGTTCGCTTGTTCGACATCTAAATTTGGGACACATGAGACAAAGTGAGCGCTGCCTGAAAGCTCAATGTCAAAGTAGGTCAAAGTTCAAACGGCTTGAAACCAGAGACTCATGTTTTGGCGTTTTTCTCAAGCAGTTTCCTGCGCCGGGCGGAGCACGCTGCTGAGTCAAGTCTTACTGCTCCCACCACAATAAACAAATGAATGGATGCAGTTTCTGAGTTTGTATTCCTGTCCTTTACCTGACAAGCATGAAACCCTAAATCACCACTTGTGTATACACATTTAAGTTGAACATTAACATTTTTGTGTATGCAGACGTCTGTTTGAGCGCAGTGGAAGGCACAAGGTCACATTTGAAAAGTGGCTGTAAAGATAGCATTTAGTCACTTTGCTTTGACCTATTAGCACCTATTAATAATCCCCTGACAGTAATTAGCCCGGCGAGGGAGCGAGCAGAGACGTAGAATGAAACATGATCCCTTTGCCTTTGACTACTCGCGACCCCAGGGTACTAACACCCACCTCCCCCTCCTCTCCACCTTCCTTTCTTCCACCATCAGACTGCATGCACCACATCAACAAGTCAGTCCGGCCCTGTTCCATTACTTAACCACTAATTGCTCAGGCCACCCTTGGGAGTCAGGAGCACTGACCCTGCGTCTGCAGTCATGGTGTGAATTTTAACAAGAGTCCTCCTTTAGGAGCGTAAGGTCTGGAGCCATCTTCTTCTCCTGAGGCCACATTTTACCTGCTTCTCTCTTATCTTTTTGCGTTCATGGGTGAAGACATGTAAAGGTGCTGTTTAATACGTGAACATGTTTAACATGAAAGTCTGTTTCACTGTGAATCTGCACATCTGAGCTGACATATGATCTGCTGCGCGCCGGAACACGCTAGCAGCTGCAAAAACCATGTAGTGGCCTTAACAGGTGTCATGTGGACTTGGCTGCCCCCTTTACAGTTGCTTATTTAAATAATTAGTCAGAAAGCCCAAATCAAAATGCTGTTTTATCTGCCAAATTGTAAGACTCCTTATTGTCCCTGAATTGGTGCGCAACTGTGACATTTAAATGGACTAAAATTTGAAAGGAGACATGCAGAGACCAATATTTTAACAGAAAAGCAGAGAGAGAAAAGAAAGATAATGCAAAAAAAGCCAGGTGCCTGTCTGCTGAGTGTTTTTCCCACTTCTGACACTTCTCTGGAGCAATTAACAAATAAATAAACGTCTCACGGGTGAATTCACAAAAGAACTGTGTGGCTTTTGCGATCACTAAACCTGCACAAATAAGACAAACTAATTCGATACTCAAAGCACCCATAAAGGGTGAAATGCACCCTGAACTGCACTGCCAAGCAAATAGCCTCTCTGTGCTATTTGCACATATTTAAATGAGGTAATATGCATACATTTGGTGGAAAATTGGCCCCTTTCTATGCAAATAAGCCTGAATGCAAAAACAGTCCAATTCACAAGGATCAGTGCTAATTAGAGCTGCGACGATTAATCGATTAGATGTCAACTGTTAAGTTAATCCCCTAAACTAATTTGATAATCAGTTAAACAGTTTGAGTCATCTTCATCTTCGCAGACTGGCCAGTCATAGCGTAGCATCAGGCCGGCTCAAACCAGGATCCGACAACAACACAGCTGTGCAAATTTGCTGGTTTTGTGGATGTGGAGCTAAATGTTGTGCCTGGGGCACGTCGTGTATTAATGATACTCGTTACTTGGAGAGGCTGGAAAAAGATATACGTTTCTTCCCTGTTTCAAAACCAAAATCAAACCCTGAAAAGTGTAGGGTTAGCTAGCTAGCTACTGAAGATATAGCCTACTGAATGTATACACATGCTGCTTTTGCTTTTTGATGATTGTAACTGTGAAACAAAGAGCGACCCTGCTGTACAGGAACCAGTGAAGGGAAGCAGGGAAACTTTGCTGATATTGAACCAGCTGTGTGTCATCACAGTGTGCGCAGATTAATGTTGTTTGCCTTCTGCCGGACTGCACACACTGTGATGCCACACAGCTGGTTCAATATCAGCAAAGTTTCCCTTTATATTCATTGTCTTGTGTGGCGATCAGCAGTGATGTGGTGGTTCACTTTTAAACTGTGATCTGTAGCCTATAGTTCGGCTTTAGCTTCTAACTATCTTTGTCTTTTTAACCTGTTGTTGCTGCTGAGTCAGTTTGACATCCTGGATATATCCTTCAAACACAGACTGTAGACCCCTCTGTCTGCTTCTCTCTGGAATCACCGTTTCCTTCTTCCAAAAATATGATAATATTTCTTCAGGGAGTGCAGTTAGTGACAGTGTGGGCTCCATGATTACTGCGACAGCTTGTCGGCCCATCACAAAGGGGCGGGGCTTGGCGAAAGGTAAATTGAGAAAATAATTGCAGCCCTAGCGGTAACAGTCAAAAGCAGTTAAAACGAAATTATTGGTGTTTTTAGAAAGTTAGTGCATTTGTAAGGGGTGTCGTGCCCACACTTTTGAGTGATCAAATTGAACCTTGAAACACAGCAGATAGCAGTTGCAAGTGATGCACAATGCAATCCATTCTTAATGACTTCACCTGTCTTTTTTTAGGCTTTTGGGGAACTACTACTGTCGTCAGGTTTTGCTGATGCGTCACACTTTGTCTCATTAACCGTGATGTTTGCATCCGTCTGGATAAACTGGTTCTAAAGCTGAGAAACTGCACGTGACATGAAAGCAGCAACACTCACGCATCAAAGCCACCCATTATAGGAGTCAGATCTTTTGGCCACTGGAGCAGTCAGGGTCTAAGAGCCTTGCTCAAGGGACCTCAGTTGTGGGAATGAGGGAGGGGCCAGTGCTGCTTCCACAGCCAGATTTATGTTGCTGCTCTGGGGATTGAACGGAAACCTTGCGGTCACAAGCCCACTTCACTCTTTACTTATAGTGTAAAAACAGAAGTTATAACTCTAATACACTGACGAGCTGTGTTCAGGCCATGTTGGTGCTTTTATGGGTGTGTATTTGTTTTTATGTCTGTATACGATATTAGCATATGGGAGTGTTTGGCTCAGATACTCAAGTCCAGAACTAGGTTTGATTTTTATCTGTGTGAGAGGGGGAGTGCAGGCAGGTTTTCAAACAGTCCCTCTAAACCTTGGATCAATTATGCAGCATGCGTCCAAGGCTGCAAATATGCCAACTGTGTCACATCCTTGAAACAAACTATTTTTATTAACAAAATAAGTTGTTTTAATGCAGATACTTTGGTCCCTGTGCCAAACAAAATGCAACGAAAACATGCCCTTCATAGATTCTTTATTCCCCATAATGATGTCAGAACTGCAGCTCACGGAATATCAAAGTGTCTCCACTCCCATGAACTTAATTGGCTGAAAACATAATTCCTAAACATTGTTTCAGTGTCCCATTTCTTTAATAACACTTTCAATTGATTTTCCTCCATCAAAACACATCCCAAACATCCTTTAACGTAACGATTTCTTCCCTGTGTGGAACCACATTTCACACTGGCCTGTTTCTTTGTACTGGAGAATTCACCCACCTCTTTTTTCTCCTCACTTTCTGAAGAACAGAGGGGCATCGATCTCTTTGGCCTGGAACAGAGGAGAAAGGGAGCGGGTCATGTTTAATTAATTCTTATCTTCTCCAGGCATCAATGTGCATTCACTAGTTATTCTTTTGATGCATTTTAAAGTCTGTATTTCAGAGTGTGCAATTAAAGGTGAACTCTGCTTGAGGGGAAAATGCCAGTTTTTTTGCAGGCCCAATTAAAATTTGGAAGCTGTACTGGAAGGGAAAAGACTCAAGGTGCATGTGCCTGAGACATGTGAGGTGTGCTCTGTGTGCGTGTGTGTGTGTGTGTGTGTGTGTGTGTGTGTGTGTGTGTGAGTGAGTGATCTACAAAGGAGAAGTTACTGTTTTAAAAAAAAAAAAAAAAAGAGAATTTTCATCTTGGGATTCATTTTCACAGAAGAATTTTACACTTTTCCAGTCAACATTTCATTGCAAAGCACTAATTAGATTTTTACTCGGTGATTGCAGCCTTTCAGATGTTGTCATATGCAGCAGGGATTCTGAATCTTTTCACCACTAGAAGCGTAGACAATTTTAGAAACAGGATCAGGTTTATAACCAAGAAGATTTTTACATAAAAGGAATTTGCTTTGGTGTTTGGCATGTAACAATGCAGTGAAAGTGCTGCAAAAGTCAAGGAAAAAATATAGAAGGTTATGTATGTACGTATGTATGTATAACTAACGGTTATTTTCATTGTCAACTAATCTGTTGATTATTTCTTTGATTAGTCGACTAATCATTTTATCGAAAAATGTGTTAAAATGTTGAAAAATGTCAGTCTGTCTCTCCCAAACCCCAAAATGATGTCATCTAATGTCTTGTTTCGTACTCACGCCAAAGGGTTTTGGTTCACCGTCATGGGAGAGTGTGTAAAGCTGCCAATACCTGAACGTAAGAAGCTGCAATAAGACTATTTTGGGGTACTTTTATAGTACTTTTCTATGAAAAATGACTCAAACCGATTAGTCGACTACTAAAATAGTCACCGATTATTTTAATAGTCGATTAGTCATCGATTAGTCGACTAATCGTTGCAGCCCTAATCATTGCAGGACATACAAATATAATTTGTAGGCTGGGGCATCTCTGATGTGTCACAATGCTTCTTTATAATGGTACGCTGTGACATATTTTATTTGGATATTGCACTTGGCCATATTGTGACTGCAGCCCTATGTGCAATGTAAAGATTATAGTTAAAAAGAAGTGTGTTTGCAGCAAAGTTTATCTTCCTCTGTGTCTATAACCATATACTGTATGTGTTTGTTCAAGGTACTGTAAGTAAATCCGTCATGTCCTGCGGTGCTTTACTTAAAGGGATGGGTCTGAGCCTTTGAAGTGGGGTTGTGTGAGGTACTTATCCATTGTCAGTGTTTTACTAACAGTAGATGTCAGTCGGCACGCCCCCAGTTTGGAGAGGCGGCAGGAGTTTGACGCGGAAGGGTACCGCTGTGGACGGGGACAGCAGCAAAACATTTCAGCCTCGTAAAAAAAAAGTATAACAGTACGCTATATGTACCTTGCAATCAGACAGCGATTTCTGACAAGGAACGGAAGCTGTTATTGATGCTCTCGTCAAAACCACCAGACTCCATTGACAAAAACAGTAATTTTACCTCAGAACACAGGAGATTGCTGGTCTACTTCTGCCTCGATCGGGTAGTTTGTGTGATTTGTGAATTTGGTGAATCCAAACTAACCCTTTAAAACTAACTAACTGGGTCAGCAGTACACCAGCAGCTCCCGTGTTAAGCAATGTAAAATTACTGTTTTGTCAATGGAGTCTGGCTTTAAAGAGAGCATAGATTTGAGTTCAGTTCCCTATTGGAAAGGGCTGTCCGATGTGTCACTTTGGTAGACCAACACCTCCTTTGTTCAGCAAGCTAAGGTTAGTTTTTGTCAATGGAATATAATAGATATAAAATAAAGTACGTTATGCCACTGCCCTCATCCTGAGCAGTACATTGCTTAGCTTCTGTGTCTGTACTCCTGCCTGCTTCTCCAAACAGGAGGTGCAGCAACTTCTATCTGTAGATAATACACAGACTATGGAAAGTGCCTCATATGACCCCACTTCAAAAAAGCCGAACTGTCCCTTTAAGTATGACCTTTTATACTCTCTATCTATGCACACTCACTGCATGTTTATGTGAGTGATATACTGTAGCATAACTCCAGCAAGAATCTCCTTGTTGCATCAAAATACGGCTTTGTACATTCAGTTTGGCGCTGTTGCGTCCCCCCGTAGCTTCAGAGTATCCTGGAAGGTCACCAAGGAACACACTCTGCTAAAGCCATTCATCACCTATTTAAAATAAAGGAATCACATGTTGTTTCTCATGATTTGTGCCCTGATAAAATCACAGGATGACACGCTGCATATTCCCATTTTATTGCTCACTGACGTGCAAGGGCCATAAATGGTTGTATAATGTATCCATAACTGATAGGGAACTCGTACAATCCAAGACATTTATATCTATTTATGTACATTTGTGCTTAAAACCAGCTGAATGCCCTAAATCTGCCTTTGTACACGCCCTGTTCTCTTCCTGTTATTGGTCTTCCAGCTCTGATAAGAGCGTTTATTTTGTATCCATTCCAACAGTGACCTAAATCAAGTCTTTTCTTCACCTTTCATCAACTTTACCTCCATGCCCTCTTCCATAAAATACTGCATCTCAATCCCACTTTATCCCTTTCTTTCTTTCTCACGTTCCCTCCTTATCTCCTGTCTTTCCCGCTGTCTTCTTTCTTCAGCTCAAGTATGCTATGAACTCTTTTCCGCCCCAGACCACTTGACAAACTATTTTCATGTCTTAACCTTATATGGGATAATAATATAAGCATAACTTCCTGGGTGGGAGGGAGGGCGACAGAGTACATACAAGGACACAGTAGTTAGGGTAACTGTATGGCCTGCAGAGAGGGGGAGAAATTTCTGAAGTAGGTTTTTCACACTGCTGTTTTTAATTATACATATACCTTGATGCAGTCTCATAGTTCTTCAGTGGAAGCTAGTTAGCCTGGCTCGCCGGCGTCCACTTTACGAGTGGAATCCAAATTTTACAACAGGTCTGGTCCTCCTAAATTTGAATGCTGTAAAGAAACGGTACACCTCTATGTGAGCTCATTGCAAAACGTCTTATATCAACATTCTTAGGCTAAACGAGGACTATGATGTGCTGCAGTCAGGAGTGCACCACATAAGTTGACAGCTCAGCCCTTAGAGGTCAGTAAACCCGTAGGAAACATCCGACCAGAGGCTTGAAGCTTAAACGATATTTCCACAAATATGTCCAAAAACAGTTTTACTCCCTTTTAAAATGGAAAAATGTGCACAATTGCTGCAGTATCGCTGCAGGTTATGCTTCCTTAAAGGGATGGTTCATCCCAAAATCCTTACATGCAGTGCTATTAATTAATCTAGACTGTTTAGATGTCAGTTTGCGAGTGTTAAAGATATTAGCCTTATCTCCATTGTAATGGAACTAGATGGCACTCAGCTTGTGGTGCTCAAAGTGCCAAAAAATACATTTGAAAAACTCAACAGCAATGTCTCTTTCCAGAAATCATGACCAGGCTACTCAAGATAATCCACAGACCTTGTTGTGAGCAGTTTCATGTAGGAACTATTTTCTTTCTGCCAAACTACACCTGCCAACTCTGTCACCACACGGAAGGACGTGTGCATCTACTGCTAGCTCACCTAGCACCACTGAGCTAGCTCACATGACAGCTCAGCCAAAAAGAGCGCCAGTAATGTTTACATTTCACGCTGTCACAAGCACGATCCTCCATGAGTAGATGCACACTTCCTTCTGTGCAGTGATATGGGTGTAGTTCGGTGTGAAGAAAATAGTTCCTACATGAAACTGCTCACAACAAGGTCTGTGGATTAGCTTGAGTCATGATTTCTGGAAAGAGAGATTGCTGTTGAGTTTTCCAAATGTATTTTTTGGCACTTTGAGCACCACAAACTGAGTGCCATCTAGTTTGATTATATTTGAGAGAAGGCAAACAACTCTACGGCCGATATCTCCAACACTCTGCAACTCACACCAAAACAATCTAGACTGATAAATAGCACTACAGGTGAGAGGAAAAATATGTATTTCTTGATTTGGGGGTGAACTGTCCCTTTAAACAGAAAGCCTTTTGGTGACCACTCAGCTATACCTGCTTTTAGATAAGAGCTCAACCTCAGGTCATTAATGATCTTTCTCTCACTAATAGCGTCACATGTCTTCAAATGAGCTCCACTTCTTTGCTGGTACTTAGAATTAATTTCACTTGCTTATCAAACAATGGGCCCCCTTTCTCATCTGCCCTCTCCGTCCCAGTGTGATAAACAACTAATTGTTTGTGCTACAAACCACAAACAACTGCATCGAGGCCAGTGCCTCTTGTAGCAGCAGTCGATGTAATAGAGAGAAGGCCTCTGATAAGGCACACTCCATTAGAGTAAGGCCTCTGGGGATTATGTCATCACTGTCCTATTTACTATCACACTGCAGTCAGTTCTTCTGGGGTCAGAGTGGCAGTCTGCTCTGCCTGACCTTTTTACCATGACGATGAACAGAGTTGTTTGTGTGTGTGCTGTATGTTGTATGATGAATAGGCTACTTGATAAAGGCTCTTCTCAACATAGACATGGCTGATTACGTTTCAAACAGTAATTAGCTGATATTGATGTCACACCATATAGAAGTTTTTTTCTAATGTAATATTGCGCTTTATCTCATTAATGAAAAAAGAAGTTTAACAATAGAGTTCTTCCTCCACAACATCATAAAACTTCCTTGGTGTCCCCTCTGCTGGCGGAGGTAGTTATGTTTCTTATCTTGACCTCTTGATGAGTCATAAATAAATACGTTCTGCCATTTATAGGCCCATTAAAAGCTTTTTAAGGCCGCAAAGGTCACAGCACTTCATAAATCTTACACCGGCGTTTACTTTAATAAAGTGTATTTTCACACAGATTCGGTAACTCTACAGTGACGCATAATGTGACACCATTTATTCATCAAATCAGAGACAATGAAAAAGGGGTGTTTAGTCTGGGCATTAGAGTCAAAGCTGCTATGAGCTAATGGATCATTTTTGCTTTTCATCTACCTTTTTAATGTCTCAGTTTTAGTTATAAATCAAAAGGATCTCTGTGCAAAAAACACTGTCAATAAATAAAGTATATTTTAGACAAGTATTATAACTATTATTTTTATTTGGAAAAGGCAACATTATAGTTTGTACAAAATCCTTCAGATGTTTTTACATGAAATGCTTTACAGTTTTTATGAACATGTACATCTACATATGCACAGAACAAGGGAAGAGCCACATTGGCTGTGGGCCACAACTCAGTCAGTCCTCCGTCTTCATTTCCAAATACACACCCATGTATACACCTCCTGTGTGCACAGGAGCAACACATCTGTACACAAACACATCTGTATTCACCAATATATCCACCTGGATACAACCCACAAATCTATCTGTACTTCCACTTCGATCTAAAAACAATTTTTGTGTTTCTTAAGCCTCCTACAGACTGCGATTTTAGCAATCTTATAGGTTTAGTGCAGCTACACTGTGTGCCATAGATCCAATAAATTTGGGTACGACATCAAGTTTGATGCATGCAGACTGCACTGACAACGCCTACTGAATTGCAGGCTACAACGCATGTTCGTCAACGTCAATACGCAAGAACAAAATGTCATCAGTGCGCGCCATCCATCTTCGCCGCTGCTGTATACAGGCAAGGCTTCTTTTGCCACAAGGTTTTCGTCTTTGCCGGAAACCTGCACAGTTTTTCTGGCTCGTTTTGCCTCTATGACGAGTTGCTGTGTGTCTGTTTGTTTGGGTTTAGCACCAGCATCGTCCTCATCAGTGCGTCATTTCACGCTGCATTTTTATTGGTTGGTTAGTAGACATAGGTGGTAACAGCAGTCACACAGTGAGATGGTCATCCCAAATTTCTGACACTGTCAGAATTTTATTCCAGGCTGTCTTTGATCACAAGGCCATGACATCGGCCATCATTGGACCTCTCTCACCGTGCCATGTAGGACCACCCTTTTAGAGCCACGACCAAAGATATCGCCACGTTTCTTTCACGTTGGTCATCTTTCGTCTGGGACAGCCCAAAATGGCACAGTGTATACTAGGCTTTACATGTACCCACCACACACTCTGCAAAACAACTATACATTCGAACTAAGGGAGCTTATATGTCTACCATCCCATCATGAGGGGAAAGGAAAATAAAACATAAGTGGAGGTATACAAAATCTGCTGGAATTGGGTTTTTAAAATCGATCCAACATTATTTATTAAACCAAAATTTAAACTTCAACTTAACCTCTTAATTTCCTTGTTTTGTTCAACCAGCAGTTCAGAACCCAAATCTATTCAATTTATAAAGATATGAAGCAGAGAAAAACTGCAAATCCTGACATTTAACCTGGCAATGTTTCCCTGCATTTCGTAGCTGCGACCAGCAGCTCCATAGGTCGCTCCGTCGGTCAGTCGGTCGGCCCACAAAAATTTCCCCACCCTGTGGAGGCCACATTTTTTCCCCATAACAAAAAAGCGCATAACTTCCAAACCGATTTAAATGACGTGACCAAAGTTTATGGAAAGATACACACAAATAGACGGACAAACACACATACACAATGTTGCCACGGCGAAGGGAAGCAAGATTGTACTTGTAACGAGTGTTTGTGAGGTTGTGTGTGTGTTGCAAATGTTGCTTGACAAATTACTTTAACAATAAATTATTAAATTAATCAATCAAAATAATCTGTTAATTGATTAAGTAATCATTTTAGTATTCATTTAAGACTGAACACCTAACTCAAAAATCATGATCTTACAGGCACCAGTTTATAATGTGTTTTTGAAATATTTACTACTTTACTGCTTTCCTGAGATGCCAACAGCATCACCCAGAAAGTTTCGGGGCATGAATCGGTCATCTTCTGCTATAATACGACTCCAAAACAACTCCTCCGCCTGCAGAGAGGGGTTGTTTTGAATATGGGCTGTAATCTCTCTATTAGCAGCAAAAGCAATAATAATATCAGTCATGTCTAAGGACATTCTCATGCCCTGTATCCCACTGTTCCGGATTAGAAAGGCATTGAACCAGGGATTAGTGGAGGAAAGAATAAAGCCTTCCTTTGACAACAGAGGAGGGAGGGCTAATGGATCAAGACCCACTGAGTATTTACACACACACACACACACACACACACACTTACACAAACACACATGCACACACAGTCTTCACACAGATTCAGCGACTCATCTTAAAGCTACTTAACCCTGCGTGAGAGGTGACATTCCGTAAGAAGTTTTCCAGGAACTATCCAATTGTAGCAGTTGAACGTGACAGAGTTTTCCTTCTGACCTCCAGGCCACCGTATCCAGTTTTAACTCGGTGTGTGCCTCCCAGGAATCCCTGTGCTGCTGCCGGTTGCACGAGGACATGTTTTCCTTTTCTGAGCCAGTTGTCCGTATCCATGCATGACGTGTTTTAGGGCTCAAATTTGGAGGTACCAGTCGGGTTTATTCAGGGCGGGTTTTGGAATTGCTGGTGCTGCCCAGGTTTAGGGTGTTAGCTTTAGAGAGAGGTTGGCAACTTCATCCCCAAGACTCTTTGAGAGAATTCATCACTGTTTGTATCTCAAGGATAAGAGTATATCCTCACTTAATTTAATCTTTAAAATCAAGTTATGAGTGTTTTGATATCGCAGCATACAACAGGAATGTCTTATCGCAATCAAACACACTGCTGCAACTTAATACTGAGAGGATGTATGTGCACAGGTGTATTGGTATAAATACAGTGCTAGGTTGTACAATGCGTAAAGGATTTAAGGATTCTGGGCATTTCTGAGGCATTATTAGGATATATTTTGCTTTCATCTCAAATCATTAGAGACATTTTATTGGCGAGACCTTGATAAATGCACGACAAAGGCAAAGCAGCTTTATTTTAATAGCACATTTCATACACCAAGGCAATTCAAAGTGCTTCGCAGATCAGTGAAATATAAAACA